GATAAATAATAACCCGTGAGAAGTGTTTAAGAAAATAACTTTTGGGAAAAAACTAAATATTCTCTCCAGAATCTCTGAATCAGGAAGAGCTGGTCGTTTGATTTAGGGACATGATACGGCATCCATGTTCGTTGGCAGCAGAGTCTGAGAATCTCTGGTCTGTTAGATCAAACAGTTTCAGTGCAAACCAGTTCTAAATCATTTTAAACAAGTCTTAAATTGGTATCTTTCTAAATATAGACCCAGCCTTGAGAGAGGTGGGCTATTTTGGGGAATAGTCAGTTTCTGGAATAACAACTGAAGACTCAGTTTAAGCACTCAGGATATTATTAAAGGAGATAAAAGTCTCTATTCCTCTTACTTTCTCACCAAATTCAATATCATTTTTGAAGAGAGGAGTAATTAATTCCATATCGAGGCTCCCCATCCTATGAATCCTCCTACTGCCTATTTCCTACCAGGACTAAAGAGGAGAAGCTGAGACTCAGGAGGGTTGTATTTGACGGACAGTGTTTTCTGCTTTCTGTCCTGGTTCAGCAGCATCTAAGAGTCAGTCTCAGGCTGGGCCAGTGGATAGAGGTGTTTTTCAATTCTCCACCTTATGTTGTCTCCCTTGAGGAAAACATCCAGGACAGAGGCTTTAAGAGGCTTGATCTGTGTGAGAAAGTTAACATTCTTGGGAAATACTTCCAAGTAAGAGGGGTAAATGGATCCTATGGGACTAAAGAAAGCCTTGTTTCTCTGAAGAATGTTGCAGCTTAACTCCCAACTGTATCTGCTTCTCCAGCCACATCTCTCGTGCATCCTCTCTCCCCTATCCTTGCTCATCCTATGCTCCAGCACATTGAGCTGTTAGCGATGGCACCTTGACTCTAAGAGGAATTCACAGAGCTGCAAAAGAGAAACACGCTCCAAATACATTTTGTCTTTGCACATGCTGTTGCTTTTTCTTGGAATATCCTTCACTGCAGTAATCTGTGGGAAAGCTCCTATTCATCCTTTAAACCCCTTTTCAAATGTCACCTCTTCTGTAAAGTTTTCTTCAACGTCCCAAGAGAGTAAGTCAATTCTTTCTCTGAGTCCTAACAGCACGTTTAATATCTCAATCATAGTACTTATCACACTATTTTGTAATTTGCCTGCTTACCTGTCCGCCTCCCTGGGGCACACATTCTTAGTTGCCTATCAAAAACCTTTCCCCACCTCTTCCTTAGTGCTAAGGGAATCCTCATGTTGCCAGGTATCAAGCTTCAAGGAGGACCTTGCCTCCTCCTCAGAACCCTGGGGGTGAATTTGGATTAGCCTAAACCAATAATGACAATTCTAGTCTGCCTGCCAGTAATTGGTTTCAGCTTGAGCCCAGTGATGCAACTCTGGCCAATGGAGGGACATGAGCTGGGTGGCACTTCTCAAGCTTGATTGTGCACATGAGTCACCTGGGAATTTGCTACAAGGCTGATTCTGTAGGTCTGGGGTGGGGCCTGAGGGTCTGTATTTGTAACAAGCCCCCAGGGGAGGAAGAGCCATATGCTGCCAGTCTGAGGACCACACTCTGAGTAGTAAGCTAGGGGTTAAGTTGCCTTACTTTTAAAAACAGACATGAGAGAACAGGTCCTTTAATGTCTCTGAAATCAGCTGTGTGAAGTGTGTTGCCTGGAGCTGCTGTAGGCATCTTGCCATCACCAAGGAAGTAGCCAACGTGCTGGGGTTGGCAGAACAGAAAGATGGAGAAAAACCCAGGCCTGGAGCTGACATTGTTCAAGTGTTGAATTAAGCAACCCGCGAGCTGCCCTTCCTCTGTGCATTTATTGTGTATGTTCTGGGAGATATTGTTTTATGAAATGTTTATTTCAGTTATGTATGTGTATATATGTGCTGGGTCATGATGTAAAATGCCTTTCTAACTGGGTTGTGGTCATAAATGTTGGAAAGACACCAGTCTGGCCAAAGGGCCAGTTGTCCCTCTGGGGAACTATGCGCAACACTCCCACAGGGAGCAAAGCTGGCTCGGGGAGACCTTCCCACCAGCCGCATTCCGTTACATTCTCTTCCTGTTCTGCCTCTCTCCAGCCCCAAGCCCCACGCTCAGAGACTCAGCCTAGAACTGTTCCTTTTTCAAAATTTCCTGACTCTTCAAGGAAACAGCACTTTGCGGTCTCTTCATTCAGCTGCTTCCTGTACTTGGTGCAGAGGCTTCTCTGAGCCCCACGAGCAGACCAACCTCTTGATTGCTGCCTGGCTCCAGGCCAGACCGCACAGATCCGAGCCAGGGGCTGTTTGGCCCTGGGTTCAGCTGTCAGTGCTCTGCCCCAGTGGGAAATGGACCAGAGTCAGCAATTAGGGCTCAAGGGGCTTTAACCAGTTAGTGGCCTGGAGCTTTGGACCAGATCTTGCTTCTCCTGCTTCTGGGAGTGCTGACGAAGGGGCACAGGACTGAAGTCCAGAGTCTGAGACTTCACTCTTGGGACTGTTGGGAGGAACGCCAGCTCTGCAACGCCACTCTAGAGAGGGGATGGAGAAACCCAGCTCCCCTCTCTTTCCTGCCCTCCATATCCTGCGCTTTACTTGCAATCCCTGTCTTCAGCGGATCTGCAAATCTGGGCAGATGTCGGAGGTGCCAGCGGGAGAAACAATGGTACCTTTGATTCCTCCTGTGCAGTCTTCCTCCACATATAGCCCGTGCTCCAGCCAAAGCCAGCCCTCCGCAAATTCCCACCTCTGGGCATATTCCCACCAGGTACTCCTCTTCTGAAACTCCTCCTCTGCCCAGCTGCCACCTGAGGAAATCCTATGCATATGCCAAGGTAGAGCTCCCACGCACTCACATTATGAAAACGTCCCCCATCTCTCTTGCTGGAACTAACGGTGCTTTTCTCTGGGCCACTCAGGGTTTTGTTTGTGCCTCTATTTGAGAACGTTGCCTCTATCACATGCTCCCTGTTGTAGTTATTTGGGTTCCTGTCTGGCCTCTTCTGTGTGCTCCCTGAACCCCTTGCAATCGTGTTTTACTCATCGTTACCTGGCAGACTGCTAGGCATGCAGCAGTGCTCCACACATGGTAGGACTGATGTGCTATTACTGTCAGGGTTAAAAATGGGCAGTGACACATATGGTCAATTGATTTTCAACAGGGGTGCCAAGACCATCCAGTAGGGGAAAGGACAGTCTATTCAACAAATGGTGCTGAGAAAATGCATATCCACATGCAAAAGAATGAAATTGGACGCTTACCTTATACCATATACAAAATTTAACTCAAAATGGATCAAAGACCTAAATGTAAGAGCTAAAACTATAAATCTCATTGGAGAAAACACAGGGAAAATGCTTTATGACATTGGATTTGGTGATAATTTATCGGCTGTAACCCCAAAGGCAAGGATGAAAAGAGAAAAAATAGTTGAATTGCAGTTCATCAAAATCAAAAACTTTGTGGGACTGGCCCAGTAGTATAGTGGTTAGGATCATGGTCCCTGCTTCAGTGGTCCAGGGTTCCCAGGTTCAGATCCTAGGTGCGGACCTAACCCCACTTGTCAAGCCATGCTATGGCAGTGTCTCACATAAAATGGAGGAAGTGACAGTCTTCCTCACCAAAAAAAGAAAAAAAAAACCCAAATTAAAAACTTTGTGCATCAAAGGATGCTATCAAGAAAATGAAAAGACAACCCACAAAATAGGAGAAAACATTTGAAAATCATATGTCTGATAAGGGATTAATATCCAGAATATATAGGAAACTCCTACAACTCAACAAAAATAAAAACAATCCAATTTAGAAATGGGCAAAGGACTTGAATAGACATTTGTCCAAAGAAGATATACAAATGGTCAAAAAGCACATGAAAAGTTGTTCAATATCACCACTCACTAGGGAAATTCAAATCAAAGCTACAATGGGATATCATCTCATATCCATTAGGATGGATACTAGCCAAAAAAAAAAAAAAAAAAACTCACTAGAAAGTAACAAGTGTTGGCAAAGATGTGGAAAAATTGGAACCCTTGTGCACTGCTGGTGGGATTGTAGAATGGTGCCACCACTAAGGAAAACAGTATAGAGATAGCTCAAGAAATTAAAATTAAATTACCATATGATCCAGCAATTTCACTTTGGGATATAGTCAAAAGAATTGAAAGCAGAAACTTGAAAGATATTGGTACACAAATGTTCATAGCAGCCTTGTTCATAATAGACAAAAGGTAGAAACAATCCAAATATCCATCAACAGAGGAATGGATAAACAAAATTTGCTGTATACACACAATGGAATATTATACAGCCTTAAAAAGAAGGGAAATTCTGACACATGCTACAACATGGATGAACCTCGAAAGCATCATGCTAAGGGAAATAAGCCAGACAGAAAAGGACAAATATTGTATGATCTCACTTACATGAAATATCTAGAATAGGCAAATTTGTAGAGACAGAAAGTAGAATAGAGGCTACCAGGGGTTGGAGGAGAGAGAATGGGGAGTTATTGTTTTATGGGTACAGAGTTTCTGTTAGGGATGATGAAAAAGTTCTGGAAATGGATAGTGGTGATGGTTGCACAAAAATGTGAATGTACTTATTACCACTGAACTGTACACTTAAAAATGGTTAAAATAGTGAATTATGTTGTATACGTTTTACCACAATAAAACAACAGAAAGTGGTCAGTGAGTTGCTAGTCTAGATTAGCAGGGATGAGGTGGTTTCTACCCTACTGAATGGAGAAAAAGGATGAAGGCATTTTCAAGAGCTCAGGATCCAAAGGGGCTTGAGATGCCTAGAGAATGGCCCACCTCCATCTCTGCCCTCAATGTCTCCTGCATCTCTGGAGAGATACACGTAGGAGGTTGCTAAGGACCCTACTTGTGCTCTAAGCCTGTGGTTCTAGAGTACCTGGGGCTCCTGGACTTCCCAAGAATCACAGTCTGGGGGAGGGACCAGAGTTCTCGAATGCCTGTTTTGGTTCGAAATTCTGCTGTAGAAGGAGGCTGAGACCACCCTTCCATGGCCTGTCTGGGTTAGCTAGAGCGCGAGCTCGTCTCACCATGCGGCTGCCCGGGTGAGGAATGTGTGGGTAATTTTGGTCAAGGCACTGCATCAGGACATGAGCTTCATGTGGGTGTCTGTCACTCACTGAGGCCTCTTCACCAGGAAGATTAATCCACTGCTTTGACGCCCTGTGGAATGCCGGTATGTGCGGCGCTCATGAGAGCCACCCGGGATCCATGACCTCCGAGCTGCAATACTTCTTGAGCGAGATCTGAGATCTGCCTCAGAATCCCAGTACCTGACCCAGGTGAATGAGTCAAATCCTGAAAGAACACCTACCTTTCCCTCTGAAGGAGAAAATCCTCTCAGTTTAGCCTAAATGAAATAAATTTGTTGTTGTCGTTGTTTTAAAATCATTGCCTTTGGTTGAACAAGGGTGTTTGCGTTGTTGTCATCTAGTTCTCTTATTCTTAACCTAGAGCTCCCTTCTTGCCTCCTCCCTGGATACGATGCAACTTCCCACCTCATGTAGATTCCCTTTATCTTCTGAAGGCCCTTCCAAGAACTCAAAGCCCCTCTTCATCAGGTTGTGGCCCAACGTGACAGCTGTCACACCCCTGTGGCGTCTGGCTGACTGGATGGGGGCTCTTCAAAACCAGAGGCTTCCAGGCTCCATCACCTTTGATCCTGATTCGGTGAGTCTGAGGTGGGACCCTGGGGCCGTATATTTTGGAACAACTTCATTGATGTATAATTCACATGGGAGCTGTATTTTAAGCAGCACCTCTGGTAATTCTGATGAGCAGGCCAGGGACCACTGGCCTCAGGTGGAAGTCAGCCCGACTAGGCACTGCTCCAGGAGACAGAAGAGGGAACAAGTCTAACAAAAAAAATCCTGCTCTTGTGAAACTCACATTCTAGTCAGGAAATGCTGATCTAGTCTATGAGTAGATAAATGAGATAATTTCAGATGCTGAAAAGCGCTCTGGATAAAAGAGGGTCATGTGAAATAGAGCAACTGGGGAGGATGCTTTAGCTGGAATCCAGGAAGATGCTCTGAGCAAGCAGAGACCCAAATGATGAAAAGAGGCAGCCATGTGTAGAAGGAGGGAGATGGTTGCAGGCAGAGGTAATATCAACTGCTGAGGCCCTGGTGGAGCCCAAGCCTGGAAGTTCAGGACTGAGCAGCCCAGGTGCTGCAGCATGCTGGGTGGGTGGCAGAGTGAAGGGGGATGGAATTGCAGATGGCGGCATCAGGCGGATCTTGCAGGCCCTCTAGGTCTAAATCATGATGAAAGAATTTGAATTTCATGATAACCGTAACGGGAAATCCCTAGAAGGCTTTAAGCAGAGGAGTGACATGAGCTTATTTATAAAGATCATGTGGCTGCTGTGTGAAGAATAGACTAGGGGCACATGAAGTCAGGCGCTGTTGCAGAAATCTACGGGGGGAAAAACGGGGATTGGGTTAGGGTTATGCCAATGGAGATGGGGAGAAGTGGGCAGATTTGGGATCTATTTTACATATAGAACTGAAAAACTTATTAATGGATTTGATATTGAGTATGAGCAAAAGAGAGGAATCAAGGACAACTCCCAGGGTTTTGGACTGATGGACTGATAGAAAGAAAGCAATAACATTACTCAAGATGGAAAAGGCTCAAGGGGGTGATATAGCAGATTTCGGGGAGAAAATTAATAGTTTTGTTTTGGTCATGTTAATTTTGAGGTGCCTGTTGGACATCCAAGTCCAACTAGGCCGTTGGATATACAAGCCTGGATCTGATGGAAGAGTTCTGGGCTGGAAACACACATTTGAGAGTCAACAGAGTATGCACAGTCTTTGCGTCTGTGGGACTGGATGAGACCACGTCTGGGGATAATGAAGATAGAGAAGAAGACCAAGCCCAGAGACCTGGGGTCGCTCGGACGTTTAGAGGTTTGCTGTAGGAGGCACATGAGGTATAGGAGACAGCAAAGGTGATGGAGAAGGGGTGTGCTGCGAGGTGGAGGAGAACCAGGTGAGGGTGTGTCATGGGAGCCTAGAGAGGATGGTGTTCAAGGAAAGAGTGGTCAGCCTCGTCGAATGCTGCTGAGAGAACAAGTGAAAACGCACAGCCAACTGACCAATGGCTCTGGTAAGATGTAGGTCTTCAGTGGCCCCAAAGAGCTGTTTTCATGGTAGAGACAAGAGCATAACTGCAGGAGGATGAAAAGAAAGTCCTCTGTCCCAGTTCTATGAAGACAACTCCTCTCCCCACCCTAAGATTTTTTAACTTGCAAAACTGAAACTCTCTGCCTGTTAAACCACAACTCCCCACCACACCCTCCCCTCAGTGCCTGACAACCACCATTCTACTTTCTGTTTCTACGAAATTGACTATTTTAGATACTCATAGAAGTGGAATCACATAGTGTCTGTCTTTTTGTGTCTGGCTTATTTCACTTAGCGTAATGTCCTCAAGGTTCATCCACGTTGTAGCATGTGTCAGAATTTCCTTCCTTTTAAAGCTGAATATATTTCTTAGACTTTTACTACATGTTTTATGTCCTGTTTTTTTCCCCCCTACAGTTTCAAACAGACAGTTGTACCATTTGTTATTCCTCCTTGTCTCAGGGATTTTTGCAGGACTAACAGAAGAAGCAGTTGAAAATAATTGCTTCTGCATTTTTTGGAAATCTGAGCTATCGAAGACATAACTCAAGTCTGGAGGAGGTGGGGCACGGGGGGGGGGCAGTCAGGAAAGAAGAGCAGTCTCGGGGGTAGCAAAGGAGAGACAATTACCTCAGGGCTGCAAGGGACGCGGAGCCCAGAGGATGGAGGAGTGGCGTGGACATCAGAGGAAATGGCTGGCGGAGGCTTGAGGCCTCCAGGCTCCAGGACTCTGCAAAGATTCTGTGCCTCACCTGTGGGATGGAAGGCAAGAGCTTCCAGGAGGGCATGGACTTGGATCCGAGAATACCACAGCATCTACCATACGTTGGAGGTAAAGGGCCTTCACTTCATTTTCCAGGCACTTCCTAAGCCTCCTGGATTCTAGGGCAATAATGACTGATACTGAATTTCTTCCATTCCATCGAGATGGGCTTCAATTCAGAATTAAGTTGACCTAAATAGAGTGATATTTCCTTTCCATCTGAGTTTGTGGACTGAAATTTATTCCCACTATGCTCCACAGTTTTCTTCAATCTCTTTGTCTCCTAAATAAAAAGCATTGTAATTAACTTATATGAATCAGAGCACAGGGCTTTATAGAAGAGTGGGATGATAGATGTGAAGACACATTGAAAAGTTATAAACACTGAATAAATGGAAAGAGAGAAACAGCAAAGCCCTGCTTGGAATGAAAACCACCATCTCATTAATCCAGAAAGCTCCAAGAAACCTGAGACCTGGCAAAACTAGAGCGAGTAACTCTCTTTAATAGTGTATGATCTACGATATTAGCGTGGATATGTTAATACGACCTTTTATCATCAGAAGTTCCTGGAGAGCAAGAACTAGTGCGGAGCCCAGCTAAATAGGTCGCCACTTTTGTGTTATGATTCTTGTTAAACAGAAAGGAAGGGAGGGAAGAAAGGAAGACAAAAGATTGCTCGCTCTACCTCCTTCCTGTAACTCTACCAGTATCCTGATAATGTAAACCCTCCTGGGAAGAATAGGATAGGATAAGAGTAAGTTGTTATCAATCATTTATATTTATTTTTGGCTCTTTCGTGGGATCTGAGCAGATCTGCTAGAAAGTGTAAACCCTGGGAGCAGTTAGAGGAAGGAAAAGCACCTCCCCTTCCTGAAATAATTTGGGGTGATGAGATAAACTTCGGCGACTTTGCAGTTTGGCTCAGGGCATTCCGATCAGCAGCAGACCAGTCTGCCTTTGATGCAGATGGTAATTTGATAACTTCTGCAAGAAATGGCTCCGATTCTCACCCTACACTCCAGAGTTCACGCTTCAGTCTCCACACAGTTTAATTTTGAGAAGGTCATTTGTTTTTTGCCAGGGGGCATTCTTCGGGTTGGCAGCCAGGCTCACTTGAGCACGGGCAATCCTGCACGTCGCAGTGCCCTATCCAAACGGAAAAAGGTCCAGAGGAAACGTTAATCAGGTGCGAATCCTACAGATGAGAAAATTGTGAGGGGTGGCAGGGGAGCAGAGGAGCAGCATCTGTCTAGCGTTTGCTGGATCACTGAGCCCAGGAGGATGGGTTGCCTAGCAGCTCCCAGACACTTCAGGCCAGTGCTAGGCAACAAGATGCAATCTGTCAGCTGCAGCCCATCCAGGTTTTCTCCTGGTTTTTGGAAACATGTAGGCATTTCAGAAGCATCTAATTATCTTCAATCTCATTCACTTCAGTGTCTGCATCAGGTATCCTATCTCAGTTTCCCCCACCCCGCCATGTTCAAATCCTCTTCTCACATAGGAGGGAACTAAGCATTGCAGGACATTTTTGTATATTTCAGAGAACAGGAAAATGAGAATTTGTCACTTCTGTTACATTAGGCATTTCCCACTTTTCATTAAGCCAGCTTTCTGCAGTCATTTTCTAGGCTTCATACCGACATACAAATTGTTAGATGTACAAAGAGAAATTCGCCAATGGATGCTAAAGAAACCGGGACCCATAATTTATTATGCCAGCAGCCATTCTGCCACCTTCTTACTCCCTCACTGAAAGGAGAGAAGAGGATGTGGTGATGCAGGGTTTGTCGGATTTCTGTGGTTAAACAATCAACAGTCTTCACTGTGCCCTTTCTCTGTGTTAAGCCTTTTTTGCTTTTTAACTCTCACGATAACCCTATTATTATTATTTCTGTTTCACAGTTGAGGAAACAGGTTCAGGAAGCCCAAGTCTCCAAGACACGTAGTTGCTTGGTGGTTCTGAGGGTCCCCTTGGTGCCTCCCCAAAGTTGCCCAAGACGTGGTCTCTGCTCATTGGCACAATTCTCATCTAGTTGAGAGTCCTGTAATGATTCTGAAATACTGTTTATTTCTTTTTAAAATCCAAGACGATATGTAATTTAGAGGGATTCAGGAAAGTGGAAGTCTGTGGTTGGGCATCTTGCAGGGCATGAGCCTGGAAAAAGGCTTAAAGGATTGAGGAGGGGGTCCCATGCTCTCCTGAACCTTCCTCAGTGACACCACTAAAGAGCAGCGGCATCTTTGGTTCTGCGGGCCGGTTGTTAACTTTCAGACGGCAGTGCGAAAACTGGAAGCAAAGGTGAACCTAGATTGTACTCTGCCCCCTGGTTTTGATTGAACTTCAGACTCACAGGTTCACCAGTCCTGGTGTGCGTGGGTCTAAAGCCACACCCACCTCTACGTACAGTCCTGGCTGCTGAACGGACAGCCACCAGTCCAGAAACTGGGTTGAAAAATGAGATAAATATTAATCTTTCCTGACATTGCAGTGCCAAGTCCCCCAAGAAGGAGCTAGAAAACAAATAGGGGAAATCAAATGAGTCAGAAAACAGAAAAAGGAAGAGAAAAAGAATCAAGGGGCTTGGTTCAAAGTCAAAGTGAGTAAGGTGAGAATTTATAAATGTATGAGATATCTCTTCAGTTTTAGAATAGCCCCCTTAAAAGTTCATTGCTTTTGGAAAGGATTTTTATGACATGTGGATGCTCTACTACCTGGGCACCATGCCCTACAAACCCACACTCACAGACACACACACACGCACATTATGGTTAGGTTGAGCTGCTGATTCTCAGACTACCTACGAAGGGTATTAAGTAGGGGAATGACTCTTAAGCTTTAATGTGCATATAATCATCTGGTCAGAATTCAGATTCTTGAGTTGAGTAGGTAGATGGAAGGTGGGGCCCAAGGTTCTGCATTTCTAACAAGCTCCAGGTGATATTGATGCACAAATGTGCATCACAATGTGACCACAATGTCACACATTGTGTAACATTGAGTAAGGAGACTTTTGTGGCTTCCTGATTGGAGTAAGAAATTGGACCAGAGGACCCCTCAGGTCCTTCCTAGCCATTATTTGAGGTCAGAGTGTAGTTTAAACTCGAACCATCAAAGATAAAAACATTGACAGACTCACTAATTTCACTCTCTTTGTTCTCTGAAAAAGTCCCTGTCAACATCACCTCATTCTTTTCCACCAGCAGCAGTGGGGTTTGAAGAGACGCTTGACACCGTGGTGCAGACTCTTGTTGTTGAATCTTTGCTGCAGGTCTTGGAGGTAGGTGTCATTACTTTGATGTTCAAGGTGAGGAAATTGATAGTAAGTGCTGAAGTCAGGGCTAGAACCCAGATCGGTTGTCTTCAAGTCCAAGATTGTACCTGTAAACCACGTATAGACAGCACAGACCCTAGAGAAAGTGAGAGGTAGCAGGTGTCTATAAACTCAGATCTGAGCAATCTGCTGGGGTTGTGACAGGTCTTTGGGGCTGGGGCTGGGGGACTGCAGGGAGAAGCAGTGTTTGATCAGTCAACTCTGGGGAAAAAGAAGAGGTGAGAGGGGGCTGGCCCCGTGGCCAAGTGGTTAAGTTTGCACGCTCCACTGCAGGTGACCCAGTGTTTCGTTGGTTCGAATCCTGGGTGCAGACATGGCACTGCTTATCAAACCACGCTGAGGCAGCGTCCCACATGCCACAACTAGAAGGACCCACAACGAAGAATATACAACTATGTACCAGGGGGCTTTGGGGAGAAAAAGGGAAAAAAAGAAAATCTTTAAAAAAAAAAAAAAAGAAGAGGTGAGAATGTGTTCACAGGGACACTTTCCACCTGGTGCCTCCCTTTTTTTTTTGCCTTCCCTTCCCTTCCCCTCCCCTCCCTGTACAGCTGTGGACATGCATGCTGCTCTCAGCCTTGCCACCGTGGCCTGGCTGGTAGGCTCAGAGGAACAGGACTGGAATTCATCCCAAAGGAGCTATATTTTATTTGTTAATTTCTTTGTTCCAGAAGTAATTTAAAGACATTGATAACAGTATGCACTTACTGTATTACGCTTTCCAGGGTTGCTGGGAAGATATTTGAAAAGAACTTGTTCAACTTCAAGGACAGAATTTCTCACAGAGGAATCTGAGAGATTTTCGTTTGTGTGCGTGGGGTGGAGGTGGGGAGTTAGTGATGGAGGCAGAGTATTGAGGAGGGAACATTGCTGCCCACAGGTGCTCAAATCCATCCCAGTGGTGCCAGCCCAGGTTAGGGGAGAGAGCAGAGCCCCCGCTCAGCTGCACAATGTACGCCATGGCTTTTGAAAGGTGCTTGACATCATTAAAAAAATAAAGGTATATTAGATGAGTTTATTCAAATGGGTTTGGAAATGGCCATAAAGTATGAACACAGGCTGTGGAGAAATAAATAATGATTAATAGCAATGTCTGCTGGCTTGCTCCAGGGATCTTTATTACATTTTATCTAACAGCCTCATTAATGGTCTAGAAGAAGAAGACACTAACAGAACTTTAATTAAATTCATGGTGGATATTAAATTAGAAGTGATTGTGGATCTCCGGGAAGGCAGGAAGGCAGCCTAAGAGGACGTGAGAAGTAGAAGATAAAATAAAGCTCAGCATTAACGGGCGAAGAGAAATGCCTTTGAAACAGCTCTTACATGGAAATAATAAGAGTTTCAGAGACTGGCTTATTGTGTGCCAGACACTGTCCTGTGTGCTTTGGAGGTGTCCGCTCCTTTGTTCTTTCCAAAAACATGATGGGGTAGGTGCTGTTGTAATTCTCATTTTGCAGGGAAGGAGACTGAGGCAGAAAGAGGTGAAGTGGCCTGCACAAGGCACACACGTGACAAGTGGTCTGCAAATTAAAAAACAAAAATTACCCTTAAGTCTGTCTTGTATCTCTTTTCCTCTAGAGTTATAAGGCAGTAGTAAAAGCATGCTTTAAAAATGTTTCTGGTTATTTGGTTTTAGTGGAAATGTGTACTTTGTGTATTAGCGTAAGGATAGCCTATTTAATAGAATATCTTCCCAAAAAAGATGCTCATAGCATCCATTTCATTACTGCCATGAATTTGGGCATCCAGTCAGCCTTCTCCGAAGGGGGCGGCTGCCACGGGCTCTGCCTATCAGAAAGCACACTGTGTGAGTGAGGCTTCATCCTCTTTGCTCACTGCTGCGTCACCCAGCTTTTAGAAGAGTGCCCGCCACACAAGAGACATTTAAGAAATAATTATTAAATGCGTTTGGTTTGAAGTTGTTCACATCAACCTCAATTTGGAATTCAGAAAGCATTAGATAGTGATTTTAATGGCAGGGAAAAGGGCTGTGGATGCCAGGTAATGATGCACTTGCGCTCCAAGCCTTTGGAGGTTTGAGCTGTGATGCAATTGCCATTTATAACATGTAACCCAGGAAAGGAACTTACCACGGTTTCCTGGCCCGTAATGAGGGATCGTGGCTCTGCCTTTTCTCTTGCCTTCGCAGGGCTGGGAGAATCAAATGAGAGGAGGGCTGAGAAGGCATCTGTCGACAGGCACAGCTCAAATGTCAGTTATACAGTTAGAGCCTTACACTGTGTTTATCAAATTTGATATCATCCCCAGGCTACTTTTTGGAAAACAATTAAGTTAGTTTAACCACTCAAATAAATTTACTGTAACACTAAGATAGTCCAAGATAGTGTGGCTTTTCACTTAAGAACAGATGGCAATAGACTATGCCTTCTTTCCAGGTGAACTTAAGAATCTTTGGGGCTGGGGCCCAGGAATGTTGTTATTAAAATGGCTCCAGGCGATTGTGATGTTCTTCCAGGCTTGAGAATAATGACAAGTTCAAGAGAAAAGCTGCTTCCTAAGGGGACAGCAGGAAGAGACAGGGCTGTGAGAACAAATGGCCAGAGGGCAAGGAGGTGGCCAAAGGATGCCAAAGATTGGGGAATACTGGGAACCTTCATTTTTAGTTGGGGAGAGATCATAAGAAATGGTGTCAAAGTCAAGGTCAGAGACTGTGCCTTGGTCTATCAGGTCCTCCCCTTGCCCAGCTGAGGGCTGGTTGGGGTGTTGAGTGTCTGTATTGGGAGAGGAAGTAGAATCAGCAATTGCCAGTTCTGGTAATTAAAGATGATCTTGCAATTAGTGGTGAGTTGTTTCTTGGTCGGCTTTCATGCCATTGACTGGGCTTCCTCCTATACCTAGAGTTCTTAATTAGTACCCCTTCCACTGTACCCTCCAACCCATCCATTTCCCCAAGACCAGCAATGGGTGTATATTGTCATTCAATGATTCAACAGTTGTTGGTTGAGCACCTGCTGTGCACCAGGCCCTCTGTGAGGCCCTGGGAATACAACAAGGAGCAAAGGAGACATGATCCCTGCCCTCTTAGAGCTCATGGTGAAATGGGAGAGATGCATATGAATAAAATAATCAAATAAATCCATATAAAATTTTTTAAAAAGTCTGTCCATGCCATGCAGGAAATGTCTAGGATCCATGAGAGTTCACAGAAGGGTCTGCTACAGTGGAAGTGTCTGTGGTGACATTCCTAAAGAAGTGACGTTTGAGTTGGTATCAAAGGGCTACTGAAGAACAACGGCCCCCACCAATGTCTCAGTCTCAGGAGAGGATCCTCCTCTCACCAAGATGCCCCTAGAGCCCACCAGGTGACTTGAAGAAAGGAAGATTATCAAGATGTACATAACCGAGTGGCAGGAAACTTTTAAAAGCTGAGAGTTTCCTCTGGTTGGTAGCAGAAGAGGAAATCAGAGATTTGGAGCATGAGAAGGATTCAACTCACCATTGCTGGCCTGAGGATGGAGGGGGCCACATGGCAAGGAATGCGAGTAGGATCTGGTTGCCGAGAACACGTCCCCGCTGACAACCAGCCATGAGATGGATATCTTAGTCCTGCAACTGCAAAGAACTGAATTCTGCCAACAACAAGCATGAGCTTAGAAGTCAATTTTTTCCCAGAGTCTCTAGACAAGAACTCAGTCCAGCTGACACCTTGATTTTGGCCTTGAGCTCTTCCTGAACAGAGGACCCATACATGCTGTGCCAGCCTTCTGACCTACTGAACTGTGGGCTAATAAATGAGTGCTGATTACAGCCTCTAAAAAAAAAAGGGCTACTGGAAACTGACTAGGTGAGAGGAGTAGGGGAAAGAGTGCTCTGGGCGGAAGAAGAACCTGTTAGAAAGTACTCAGGAGTAAGGGATATGCCACAGGAAGACCAGTGTGGCTGAAGAACAGAGACGGAAGGCAGGTAGGGGCCAGAATGGAGGCCTGGCGGGGCCCCCCATGCGGGGCTCATAGGCTGAGTTCAGGGTTTGGGCCTCCAACCTAAGGGAAATGGGAGACCCTGGAGGTTTTCAAGGAAGGGTAGCTGTGGGGGTGGGCTGTGTGTGTATGAAAAAAGAGAAGGGGGGGGGTTGTATTAGTCTGCTGGGCCGCCATAGCAAAATACCACTGACTGGGCGGCTTAAACAATGGAAATGTATTTTCTCACACTTCTGGAGGCTGTAAGTCTGAGATCAAGTTGTTAATAGGGCCTCTCTCCTTGGCGTTCAGGTGGCTGTCTTCTCCTCTGTCCTCGCATGGTCTTTCCTCTGTGTATGTCCATGTCCTTGTGTCCTCCTCTCATAAGGACACCGGTCACTTGGATTAGGGCCCACTCTAATTACTTCTTTAAAGATTCTCTCTCCAAATACAGTCACATTCTGAGGTCCTGGGGGTTAGGACTTTAACACAGGAGTTTGGGGTAGGGGGCCACGATTCAGCCTGTAATAGAAGGGTCAGCAGATTTATGCTTTAAAAGACGTCACTGGCTACTGGGTGGAGAATGACCGGAAGGGACGAGACAGATAGCAAGAGGCCTCACTGAAGCTCCCGTGACAGCCCAGGTTTGGCTTATGCCGCACACCATCACACGGACTGCCTACCCCAGGCAGGGTTTCAACCCTCCTGCTGTCTCCTTATGACTTTATTGCATTCTCATGCAGAACATTCTAATGCTATGAAAATCTAAACACTCCTTTACCAGCTATACCTTTTTAAATATCAAATGAGGCACTAGAAAATTTTACGTTGGAGCAGTACCTCCAAGTTCGAGTTTAAAAGAAACCAAAAAACCAAAAAAATCCCCTAGTTATCTAAAGGCAAAAAGGAATCATTTTTGTAACTTAACTATGAAAGCACCAGATAAGTAAAATCATTTTATATTATTGCATTTTTTTGCCAAAATATCACTTGAAATAAAGGTAATGAATAGCTGTCCTTTAAAAT